CATAGGGATGCCAACACCGGCTGCTCAGAGGTACCCAGCGTGTGAGAGACGCACGCCAGACGAATGGTATCGCGCAAACTTTGCGGCGAATACGGAAGCGGAGGAGCACCCCAGAGGAACGGGGGAGCACCCAGAACCGCAGAATTATCAGGAAGCCGTAGGGGGAGAAGAGAGTGACCTCTGGCGGAAGTCGATGGACGAGAAGATGCGTCCTTGTTGGAGAAGGGGACGTCATAAGAAATCTAAGCACGGGATCAGGGCCTTTTTGCCTACCTCCCGCAGGCGGATGTTCGAGGGTGCGACATTGCCAAATACGGCCTTCTAATTGGCGCGCTCAACAGTTTTTTCTCGATCTAGGCTGCTTGATGCCTGAAAGCTTACCTTAGTGTACCGTGGAGCGAATCCTAACACTGGAGGTTCATTGCGTGGCGGCCTAAATTTCACCATGTACTTGAACATGTACGCCTTCGAGGTCCCGGTGCTAGAGCACACCGGGTACTGAGCCTTAGGTGAACCTGGCTGGGTGGAGTAGCGCCGGCAGACCACGGTCGGCCTTCGAACAGTTAACGTGTACATGTTTTGGGCCGCCGGCCTACCGGTCAGAATTTGAGGCCGGTAGGCTGACTAGACTGATTTGCAGACCTGTAGAGTGCCCGACATATAGTCACGGGCCCTGTACATCTGACATACAGTACATGATCTCTGACATACCGTACGCTCGTGGTACGGTCTCATTATGAATTCCTGATTTGGTTAGTCGCGTGAGCGACACGTTGCTGATAAGTCATAATCAGGTACGGACGACCGTTCGGTCCAACTTCAAACCTGCAGTCCGTTAGACTGCCCGGATGGTCGCCTCAGCTCGCCGCGATTATTTTGAAAAATTAGGTAATATTTTCGTTAACGGCACCATTTAAATTAAATTGGAAGAAAACTGACGCAGTATTTATTTGGCGACGCACACAGATCGGTAGTTCTCAGCGGTCGGTACCTACGCTGAACCTACGGGTATTCAACCTTGTACCCGGATCCGACCAGCGGTTGTATCCAAATCCAGACTCAAAACCGCAAACATCGGTGTCAAGCGAACTTTTCCAGGACCTCCAACGGCGATCTGACGGTCGGAACTTCAACATTGGCAGGAGATCTACGGTAGAATGGGGGGTGCGACATTGTGTCCGCACCGGACGGGAGGCAGGGAAAAAGGCCCAGCGCTGGGCCAACTCAGATTTCTTATGGTGGGAGATCGTCGAAAAATCGAAAGGGGTCAAGCCGGTTCCCATGAAGTGGGTTTACAAGATAAGCGGGACGCTCACGGGAATGTGGAGCGGTACAAGTCCCGGCTGGTGGCCAGGGCCTACGTGCAGAAACAAGGAATTGACTTCGACGAGGTCTACGCCCCGGTGAGCAAGCACACGACGTTGCGTG